CTTCAGCTTCTTCTAGAAGTATGTATTTGTTGTCTCTTTTAGAAGTATTTGCTCAAACTTTTTAGTGCCCTAGCTATTATTTTTTCAATTATCTTAACATTAAACTCTGTATACTTCAATTAAGATACTGTCTTAAAGAAACACAAAATGTATACCACATTACAATTTTGCCGATTTTTTTTTATAACTTTCTTTAGCTAATACATACCTAAGATCATTTACTTCTAACACACTAATAGGAGATGTCTATATCTCAATATTAGTCTCGGAATTCATAATTTATAAATTATTCTTTTTTCTCTTAAACCTGTTTTAGTTGTTTAAAATTTAAAAAATTGAAACTCTCATTTTTGCTGTAAACCAACACAATGTACAACAAAACAAATTTTGTAACACTTAGTTTGTTTTCGACAGTTTCAGGTCTAAACGGAATTCATTCCGTAATTCTGTTAACAGTCATTGAAGAGGCACTAGTGAAGTTTACAAGTAATTAGCGTAGTGACTTTGTCCTTTAAGTTTGTTAACTCTGTCTTACTTTAGGTTGGTATTGTATGAGAAATATTTCTTAATGCTTGTTACTAGTGACCTATGTATAACAGCTAAATAGATGTACCCCACCACAATGCAAATAATTCATGTTATAAATGAACAATTTAATCCCCTAAATTCTTTATAATTGAATTACTTATAGAGTTGAAATAATTTGTAGATTATGTACTACTAAAATTTAGGTAAAAAACTTACTATAATTATTATTAATCTTTTAAAGTGCCGTGATAAAAAATTAAATTTGTTCATTTAATTTTACAATGACAAAAAACCACAATTATATTTGGTGAAAATTATTGGCCTGCACAAACGATTCGTAACTAAATGGGACAACTTTTCACTGAAATTGTTTGAATTAAGTTTAAGTTACAAGTGATTAGTTTAGTTAAGTTCATACTCGACAGTCTCGTCCTGCTTAATTTCTTGAAGACATTTCAACTTCTTAATAAAAATGCTTTAGTATTTTGGTAAATGGTAATTTATTGAGTAAATAATAAATAAAATATTATATGTAGGATAAGATAATGGCTACTAAGAATTTCAAGGCTGTTACAAAGTATCGAAATTAGTACCAAAATCGTTCAACAAATGTTGCCATTTCGTAACCATGAATTCTATAGTCGTACTTTTTATTATTATATTACACATATTAAGAAGTAACAGAGACCGCTTGTTAGCATAGCTCATTATTATAATAAGTATGTATCCGATATAATAATTATTATAACAATATTAAACAGTAAATTAAGCAATCTTTACCATTAATATATGTAGTATGTTATATGTATTACTGAATCACAAAGAAACTTCAATATCAACTTAGAACTTTCTCTAGATTAAAATATTACTTATAATAAAGCCTTCATCAAATTTTGTAAAATTTTAGGAGAAGATTCATTTATATATTTATGCGTTAAATTATATTCGTTTTTCCAAACTATAGAGTTATACTTTCTCACCGTTTTCTTTTCTTTTATACCGGCGAACTGTTTGTGTTACATGTTCGACTATTGTTAAGTTAGTCGTGTTTGGTAAATATATTAAAAAGAAAATCATTTAAACACCATGTAATGTAGATTTTAAATTGCTCAGAACAATTTCGGTAGCGATTTTAGGTATCATTATCATAAATATAGTGTAAAGACAAGATGTTCACCATTAGATAATCGTTAGTTTTAGACAAAATTGTGTAAGGAATTATTTTATTAAGGTTTTATTACTTGAGGTCAAAATGAGAGGTTTTTAATTCCTTATGTGATGGCTAAAATTAAGATCGTTACAGTTTAGCCTAAAGTTCTTCATAGCTTGGGGTAGTGGTTCCCTGTCTTTTAATTCAGGTATTTCCTGCTTGGTGCCTTTCTCACTGAAAGTATTTTAATTTTGTAGACAAGCAAATTCAGCTTGTTCCAACAAAGCAATCTATTCAGTACTTATTCATGTATGTTAATAAAAACTTTATAAATCTTGGTTAAACAATTATTGCTATATTCTGAAATTAATAAGTTAAGAAAACCTTTGATAATAATTTTCAAAGAATTTTTTCTTGTTGTACAATAATGTTTGAATAATATCTGAGAATGTGCGTTTGTTAGTTATAGTCAAAATGCTAAGTTAAAGTGTAAACCAAAAAAAATTATCAAATGCTTCGAAAGTTATGATACATATAAACTATATATATAATAAGTAAATAATTAGTAATACATACTACAATTAAATTATATTACTTTAGCTCGTTTAAACAAAGTGTTATAAAGTATACAGCTTAATACAAAATTATTCCTTCACCAAAGTGTTACAAATAGATCATTTGCGGATAAACTACGTAGAATTTACTTATAACTTCGTCCTCAAGTCGTATTTGGATCCTGTGATGATAAACCTCCGAACTTAAATATTAGTTGATATATAGTTTTTATTTTAATCACCAATTTGAAGTTGACAATTACTTCTCAAAGGGACGATTCCGCTCTATTCTATCTGTGGTCAACCCGGCCTTAAGAAGAGATAAAAGATATTAGAACCTCAGTTCAAAGCATCAAGATTTGAGTATATTTGAGGCTACCTTTTAATATCCATATAATTATAAAGTACAAAGTGTTATTATTATAATTAAAGCTACACCTGATATTCTTGTTTCATGAACAAAATGCAACATCTCATTTTATAATACATATAATAAAATAACTACAATGTTAGTAATTAATATAATTTCTTGTTAATCTGATTTAAACTACTTCTAATTAAAATTCTAACAATTTAAATCTAAAATTGCCTCATTAAAATAAAAATATGTGAAAGTATAAAAGATTTACACAAAATAGAAAGTATTCTGTTTTTTATCATTACAACCTGAAATATTGTGTGTTATTTGATTATTTTTATGTCATCACTATCAGAAATATGAAGTATTGGATTTAATTTTTTAAATGTATACGTTAAGTAGTAAAAAAGACTACCAGATAAACATAAATTATTAAAGTTGAATACATATTTTAACTTCTACAGCTGAGAAACTGAAATTTAAAATGTTAACAGGCTTATAACTTGCAAATTTCAATATATTATAGAATATTAACAGAATTTTTGAATGAATTTCTTTAAATCTTAATTTCGTCTGAAAAAATATATACTTATGTTAAGAAATTTATGTTATCAAATATTATTTTTGTTGGCTTTCATTTAAAGTAAATGCACACTTTTATTATTACATGTATATTGTCAAGTACCGTAACATACAGTTTGAGGAAACGAGATGGAATTTCTTATTAAATTGGTTATCAGATGTTTTTTGTTTGAAAGGAGTAAAGTTAGGAGGAAAACCTCTTATTAATGCGATAATATCCTCTATTACTGATTCATCACATATTACAGTTATACAGCCTATTGAACTTTGTCGTTAAATTAAGCTTAAACTATGTAATTATGGATGTTATTTTTATGTACAAAAAGTATGAGATCTGACAATAACATACATGAATGGCCCCAAAACACATTACACTATAAGGTAAGATGGGCAACTAAAACTGTCAGCGTTTTTAAATTACTATTTTGATAATGAGATTTAAGATTTTCGCGAGTATTCATTTAATGATACTAATTTTTTCGGATTGACTACGCGATTATTATTTTTGATTATAAACTACGTACTCCCGACGTTTCGGTTACTTTACAGCAACCGTGATCACATCTTGTCTGCCCATTTTACCTTTTCGTAACTTATTTTAATTAATCCAACAAAACAGCAGTGCGTCGCGGATATGATAAGATTTTAAACTCAAAATAAATACATAAATGTATAAAATAGGTTTAAAATATACAAAAAAAAAACATTAAAAAACGTCCAACATATTTAAATATATACACACACAATTACTAAATAAGTATACCCTAAAATGACCACTATGACGAACCACAAGTTATACAGTCATATAAAGTTTTGGATATGCCGCCATGTTGGATTAAAAATAAGATCTTAGTTTTAGGCACGCATTGTCATTCAAAAAAAATAACATACAAAATTTCAGATCAAACAGTTGAGGATACCTACTTCACAATTAAGTTGCAAGATTTTTCCAGAATAAATAACATACATATATAATCTATATACACAGTATGTTATACAGTGTGTTCTAAAAACTGCGTCAACCCTTGAAGGCATGTATACATACAAGTATAAGCTTATTATTAAAAATAGTATAACTTAAAAAATATCAAGCATTGGTCAGTTACAGTGCATAGGCTAAATAAGTTTTAAATCGACATTTGAAAAAATGTTTCAAACATCTGACCAGTAAACGGCAGGTACACCGTCCAGAAAGCCAGTTCCGTCTGTCGGTAGTTGAGTTGTATGTAGTGTTCAAGTTCAGATAGCGGAGTTGTCCCTCCTCAGCAGCTTCGAAGTGTAGACCCAGGATACGAGACCGGGTTGGATTACTTGAAACAATATTATATATGTGAAATGGTTGATTCATTCATGGCAATTTCCCAGCTATAGCCAGGGTCTGCCTTAAATGTTGTAAATAGTTTTGGCTAATTGTTTTTACGACCGGCCGCCTGCCTTACATCAACCCTCTTTGGGAATGCATTAATTTGTGATGTCTAAATACTCTTAGAAAGTACATAAAACTCGGAAAAATCACATTGGTACTTGCCAGGATCGAACCCGCGCCCTCGTGCATGAGACGCGGGCCTCTTAACCACTGGGCCACCACTGACTATTGTTTATTTATTCAGATATAAGTTGAAAATTATATTCAGAATGAAAGGCATTTAAAAAGTTAGCAAGCTGTGAAATAATAATGTTATTTTGGTAATTATAATAAAAATTTTACAATTATTAGTAAAACGAAATGTAAATAATATGTCCCATGTTTAATATATAAGTAAGTTGAACTAACCCATATCTAGCGAAATCTGAGAAGGCTTTCATGAAGAAGTGGCTCATATTCCTATCATTGTTCGTCCACGCTTGTCGATCGAGCCTTTTCTCCAAGGGAAAAACTCTTGGTCTTATTCGTGGTATTGAGTTCGTTGTAGTTGTTGTTCGTCGTCGTATTGAGTACGTACATGTACACTGGTACTTTATTCTCTAGCAGCAACTTAGTATCTAGTCGGTCGGCGCTCGATATAGGAAGTCGGATAGTAGCTGAGGAATATACGAGATTAAACATAATTAAGAACTTTAGAAACATAATATTTAGAAATTACTTGGATTCTTTATACTATATTGTACATTTCCAAAGCAATTAGACTTGGAAAGTGAATAATAAGGAGATATATTAGTTCACTACAACGGATAATAGATGAGAAGTTAGTAATAAAAAAAAGAATTCAAATCGATATTCTATGACAGAATTTTCATCATACAAGAAGTTAGCGATGTATGATCAGAGAATATAATGGATATGTTAAATTACACTCAGCGCCATCTATAGTTTAACACGTAAGTTAATATAAAATACAACTTTATAGCCGTATTGGTCAAGGAATTACACGGATTACACATTAATACCCTATACTTTATACTTATATGATTGAAAAGACTCATTAAAATTAGTTCAGTAGTTATTGTATGACATGCATACGTACATACATCGTCAAAAAATTGTAATATCATGAGATCTAAAATGTTCGCGAGCATTATCTCGTCTACTAATCACGGACGTTGCAAAGATACCGAAATGTTGGTAGTGTGTTCTTAAAAAAAAAAATACGCGTAATAATCCGAAAAACTATTATTTTCTATATATCAGTATATATTAGTTTCTATACACGCACGCACACACACGCATATGCTACTAATATTATAATTGCGAAGGTTTCTGAGTGTGTGTGTATGTTTGTTACTTCTTTACGCTCAAACAGCTGAACCGATTTTGATAAAATTTTGTATACAGGAATCTGACGTCCAGGAATAACATATAGGCTACTTTACATCTCGGAAATCCCGGAAATCCACGGGGATCAGCTAGTGTATTTCTATAGATATCATTATTATAGTCTCACATGTATGTGTACATGTAGCGGACAGCCTCGTATACACCTTCTGGTTGAACCAACGCTCCTCGATTGAGTACGCAGGAGCTAGAGACTCGTTTTTATCTGAAATATATTATATACAAATTTAAGAAAAATATTTTGTAGGTTTTAATGAAGTATGTATTTTTAAAGTCAGTGGTGACCTAGTGGTTAAAAGGCCGGCCTCTCATGCATGAGGGCGCGGGTTCGGTTCTAACCCGGGCAATTACTTATGTGATTTTTCCGAGTCATATGTACTTTCTGAGAGTATTTAAACATCACTGATTAATGCATTCCCAAAGAGGGTTGATTTCAGGCAGGCGGCCGGTCGTAAAAACAATTAGCCAAAACTATTCACAACATGGAAGGCAGACCCTGGCCTAAGCTGGGAAATTGCCAGGTAGAAGTAGAATGAAGTATTTTTAAAGCAAGATTGAAGAAAACTTATTTTCTGACAGACAAAACATATGTAATAGGTAAGTATTAGTGTATACTGGCTAGGTGGCTTATACCGACGGCTAATTCACAATTACCAGGTACTAAAGGTAAGTAAAAATTGTATTTTACTTATAGTTGGGTCTGTTTCATACGTATGTTTTAGGAAATATTGTAAACGATTTCAAATTAATAGTGCAAGAAAACTTCTGATGGCAGATTTTTTTTTTGGCAGACACTTTAAGTAAAGACAGCAAAAAATCAAAATAGATATGAAATTTTAGCATTATTCTGCAATCGTTTAGAAAATTAAATAATATTAAATCATTTTATTAACATTAAAAGCTTTTGTTGGACATATTACAAGAAATGTAGTTTCAATGAAAAAGTATGAAAAAGGAGCTAATTATCACCCATACTAGATGGATTAATAGATGATGGATATTTGGCCTTTATTATAGGTCTGACATGATACGAGATACATTTAAATGGCCCCCTAAATATTAAATTTAAAATTTAAGTATCACACTGTAAGTAAGATTGTGTTTTAAAGATTAAATTTTGTGACTTTTTTATGGTAAGATTATTAATTATTTATTTACATAGCACATAAGCCGCTTCCTGCGTAGTGTCCAGGAACCGCCAGTCCCGCGCGCGCCAACCCTCGTACCACTCGTCACCGACCCCATGGAATAAAACCCACTTGTGGCTGAAGAACATATTGATGATTGTGTCATTTAATAATATATATTATATATTTACACACACACACACACACACACACACACACACAGACACACTTGTGTATTAAACACCATTTGCTTTGCTTTTTTCCCTTTTTTTTCTTTTTATCGTTAATTGTATGCTCGAGTGTAACTTTAGAAGTGTAACTTTGTGTAATCCTAAATTGGCCTTGTTTATAACTATATTGTTACTATTCTAAAATTACTGTAACGCTGTTGGATTACCAATAAACGAAGAAAAAAAAAGAAATATGATTTAAAACTGTTTTTCGATTTTGATTGACTCTATTTTGCTTTACGAGGCGTTTTATTGTAATTCGATTAATGTTTGTGAAACAATCAAAGGTCCAAGAAACTTTAATCTTTTGTTATCGTGAATATGGTTTCTGGAAACCGAAACATTCGGTAGATACAATAATTTATTTATATCAACTAATACATTTATATCAACTTTTCTGTATTCCCTACTAATATTATAAATGCGAAAGTAATTCTGTCTGTCTGTCTGTTACGCTTTCACGCCTAAAACACTGAAATGATTTTAATGAACTTTGGTACAGAGATAGAGTTGACCTTGAGAAAGAAGAAAGGATAGTTTTTATTCCAGACTTTTGAAAAGTTCTCTTGAGAACGCTATACATATATCCGAACACCACGCGGGCAAAGCTGCGGGCTTAAAGCTGGTTTAGTTTATACTATCAAATTTTTCTCTGATAATTCACTATTTTATTGGCTATAAAAAAAATATATGGTGTCGTGTTATTCACCTGAAATTCAGCGTTCCCTAGCTCATAGAAGCTCCTGCCTCGTTTCAAACAGTTGACGAGCTTCCACGAGGAGTCTATGGGACAACCCAACAGCCGACCAAACACCAGAGACGTGTTCTGAACGCGGAACTTGTCTTGTATTAGCGCCCAATCTGCTAGCGCTGATCCGCTCTGGAAAGAAAAGAAAAAAATTTTTGTGCATTAGTTAGTTCACATATTTCTTCATTGTCAGAACGCATGTACGTACAGAAAGTCACAAATTTCATTATTTGACCTTTCTATAATTGCCACAACGCGTCATGCGCGTTTTTATAAGCCCTAGCACGAATTTCGCGATGTGGATGTTTTTCTCTGACCAGAACGTGTAGTAAGCAATTTTTTCGCTCACTGAGCGTTATCGATCTTTGATCGGAACATATATACCGTACTATGATATAGCAAATACGTCAAACATTCTTAAAGCAATAATGACTTCTGATGAACATGTCCAAGTGTTATCCAAGATCAAGTTTTCTAATGTCACAGTCTAAAATACTATACAATAATTGAATCAGTTTACCAAACCTGTGCGATCACTCGGCTGACTATATCTCTGTCTTTCTGTCTGTGGCGCGACCGCCAAAAGCCCGGCTGAAGCAGCGCCAGCTCCTGGTCCGAATAGAGTAATTGATCTAGAATACCGTAGTTCCCGGGAGAGTTTTCATCAGCGGTAGAAAGAAAACCTGGAATTTATCAATGGGACATGATTTTATATGGGTTTTAGCGTATTTATATCGACGGAAGCAATTTCCTTTAAAATTCTTTAGGGCGTACACCACATCTTTGGAATGTTTGAGCTATGTTTCATCTGTTATATACCACAATTATTGCTATTATTTAATGTTATTTTATAAAACAACCCAAACGTCAAACTAGTTTAGATTACAAACGATTGCAAAATGCCACACACATGCAAAAAAATAACATATCTAATAGATTTAAACTATTAAAACTCCTTTTATACAATAAGTATGCAACCAAATAGTTATGGAGTTATGAACCACCATCATCAGCGTATCAGAGCCCACTGTTGAGCAAAGGCCTCTTCTCACACGAAGAAGGTTTGAGCATTAACCACCACGCTCGATCAAGACGGGTTGGCGATTTCAAACTTATAATTGTGAAACTATAAGTCCAGGTTTTCTCACGATGTTTTCCTTCACTGTATGACAGTGGTGTCTAAATACATACAATTCATTTTTTTTTGGTAATAATATGTTATTTCTCACCAAGGGCTCCAAGTCTATAGTTTATAGAGACCACGACCACATTGTAGAAGGCTGCCATCACGTATGCGGGGAAGAGATTAGACGCGCCTGATGAAAACTGTCCACCGTGGATGTAAACCATCACGGGGTACCTCTGAGCAGTGGCACCCGCTTCAGTCTGATGAAGAAATATATGAAAATGTACTTAAATACACTTTTAAACTAGTTTATTGTATTCTTTTATTGAACAAAGCTAATATTTTCCGATTACAAGGCGTCATTTTAATAGTTTTACATAGGTACATACTTCCGACGTTTTGGTAACTTTGCATGTTTTCTGCACGGGAAAATGTAATTTTAAAAAAATAATATAATACTCGCGAAAGTTTTAAATCTCATTAAATATGAGTCTATACTCGTTTTATATGTTAATATTCTTAAGCAGAGTTCAAATGAAGATGAAAAGTATATTTATTTATTTTCTTTTGTGTTTTGAATAATGAGTGAAGGGAGATAATGTATGCGAGGGTGAAAAGTTAAGTTTTAAAAAGTCGCGCCGGCGCACGCGCGGCCATTCATCGCAGGTGCCGGGTCCATCGCGTTGCAGGGAGAGGAGCTTCAACAGTGCCTGGGACTTGCGACCCAGATGTAGGTTTAAGGGGCCCCTTATCTAACGCGCGTTATACGCTTACCTCCACTGTCCAAGCTCCTCTAACTAACCAAATTTGAAAAGAACCTACTAGGGCTGCCTTTGACGTAGGTACCAAGAATGAATTAATGTTAGTTCTAGACAGGCCCAAGTCTTTTAGTATGTTATAGAGAGATTTAGCTGTTATACCTCTCGCTCCCAACTCTACCGCGTACAAATCAACGACGAACCTATTTAGAGTTAGTTCGTTAGTGAGCTCGTAATACTTATTGACCTTGATGGCATGGTCTTTGGAGATGTTGGTTTCCCAAGGCACCGTAAGCTCTATCATCACAACGCACTTTAAAATACGAGAATATAGAAATATGTCTGGTCTGCAGGCCGACGCAAATATCCTAGGGGATTTTGTATTGTTTTTCATTATTATTTTGTTAGTTTTTCGAATAGAGATTTGCAAGTTCAAAAATTAGGTATATCGATAAATATTCTATCGATATTCTCAATATTGCTATAAATAGTTATGCTTTTCACATTAAAATAATGTCATTTAAAATAACTTTTATTAATAATATATAATATATATTATTAATCAATATTATAATATGGAACTTCTTCAGGTAAAGTAATTATGTTGTATTATTAGGATAAATCGTTAATCTACTTCTGTTAAAAATGGTGTCATACAATCAAAAAAAATATTAATGTTTGATATATCAAAATAAGTATCGAAATAATATGAATATTAAATATTTATTTATTGTTATGATTTTTTAAATATCGATATTTTTTATTCGAGCCTACTCCGCCCTTTTAATATTTTTTTTTATTATTTAGTTCCGCCATTGAGTCTCATCGTGTTATACCAGTGGGTACAAACATTTTGTTACTCTACATATAATAATCATTTAATATTTAATTTTATTATTTTTATTGAAGAGTTTGTAAATGTAAGTTGTTTGATTGTGTTCCATTTCCAATATTGATAACGCAGTTAAGGGAGTTGACACAATTTTTCATACACACTGTATAACAGAGGGCGTTCCCTTGAACTCGTTAATACATATATTTCACTAATAGATTAATATAAATTTATCAGCATAGAAAAATAAGCATAAAATAATCTGAATTAAAAAAAATAATTAATTCACAATAAATTCGAAACCCCCTGTGCAAAACCAAAATACATAGTAGCGCGGAATAGTAGGCAGGTATTTAGCGTAGTAGCATTGCCCAAACTGGTGACGTTGCAATACGCACGATGCCGAGTGGCGACTTTTATAATTGCGGCATATCTATATATATAAAAGAAAGTCGTGTTAGTTACTCCACTTATAACTCAAGAACGGCTGAACCGATTTAGCTGAAAATTGGCAGGGAGGTAGTTTAGAACCGGAAAATCGCAGTAGGATACTTTTTATCCCGTTCGACAGCATTCCCGTGGGACTTGACATGAAACGTCAGTCATTATAAAACGTGGAATAACGAAACACAATTGACAGCTATGCGATTGACGTATAATGACAGATATGTAATTTAGTATTTGCGGGATAAATTTAGAAAATCATTGTTTTTCACATGGGCAGTTATAGTTTGTGTGTTCATGAGTTGGGAAACCATCCGCTTTATTTGTGTTAACGTTAGACCAAAAAACAAAAAATGCGGTTTACAAAGGAGCACTTCAATAAAACGGATAATAATTTGCGGACACGTATATATGTTTCGATTCGGTATCTACTTTGGATTCACTTTCATTTACTTACAGAAGTTCAACTAAATAACACTTCATTTTTGTAATCGAAATGAATTCATTACTGTTGTGAAATGAAATAAATATTTTCCTTTTCAAATATAAAACAAATGGCGAAATGGCGTTCGCCAGGTTTACTAGTTTAATTATAAAGACATTTAGTCGGATTGTTATCATTAAAAATAAACATTTTAAATGTAGTTTTAGCAATAACACTTAACCTGTCTCAAATGTATCGCTGAAAAAGGAACGTGTCACTGAGGTGCTTATTAGCAAACAGTAAATTAAAAAAACATAAATTCATGTACCTACATAATATTATGTAAGCCACGTTCCAATAACTCTACAATTAACAAATAAAATACATACAGTGAATTAGACAGATTCGGCACGCATCGGTCGAGTAAAGAACGCGGGGTGGTGGGGCGGCAGCGCTTTTGAGTTTTGCCGACACGCCGCCGTCGCGTCGTTGCGCGATCGTGGCCACAAAATAAACAAATACTAATTACTACAGAAGGTCTACACTCTACTCACGGAAATGGTTACCTAAATTTGCTTTATTAAGTTGGATAAAAGTTTCATTTATTTAAACCACAGTTTAGGCTAGGATTTAAAAGATCATGGCGGTATTACACCTAACTTGTAGTACTTGCGTTTATTAACGTTTATTATTAATAGCTATCGCGTAACGTCACAATGGTAACACATTCGTTGAACGCGATAGAAAGCAGTTTTAGGAAAGAGTGGCCCTGCTGAACTTATTAATTTTGTTTTATTTTAATGTTTTCGAAATTTCTTAGGTATTAAATAAAGTTAAAACTTACCTAGATTTTGAACTGCTCAATATGCTGACCTATTCTGTCTACACATTGTTGCAAACGCTGACGGTTATTTTGGCGCACTCGTATCATTAAAAGCGGGTCCTCGCGTATTCGGTTCCTGATAATGTCTCTTCTAGTGCTTGAACCGGACTCCTCCACAAAATGCCTTAACACGTTCTCTTCCTGCCGCACTGAAATCACGACACTACCGGCTCATTGTTACGCATACGCACCAGGGCACTCACAATTACACGAGAATTCCGAGGTTGGTGTGCATTAGGATACCTTTCACTTTTCAGCATACATCCTCAGAGCACGTGCGAAATCATAATTACACTCAGCATAAATGAGTACCATGTTCACATACTCCTGCGCACTGAACTGATAACGCGGCATCTTTCACGCGAGAATGACGCAAGATGTAACAATGCAGAAATAATGCACGTCCGACCCCGGTCAGCGTGGGAGATTACTACCGAATAAAATTATGCGGACATAGTGTTGCCAACTTTATTTTTTAGAGGATCGTACTATAGACTTTAAAAAAATAGTATTTTGTCTTGAAATTCAAGGAAATAATCGTACGCGATGAAATTTCAATAAACCTGCGTAAGTATATTAAATAAAAACGGAATTTAATTCCAATTTTCAATTAACACTAATCATCAATTTATATGTGGAATTAAGATATTCATTAATTAGATATATTTTGAAAACAGAAAAAAAATGAATTGCTTTAGTCACTATCTGAATTATTATGCACAGCAGATGAGAGAAAAGCGTTATATTTTATGTACATACTTAAATTTAATTTGCTCAGCATATCGTCAGATGGCTTGAAGTTTATACACGATCCTTTTTCTTTAATATGTTGTGCAGCTAACAAATTCTTATTTACCGTTTCTGGAATACAGTTTAGTTTTACACATTCCTTATAGTTTTATTAGAGATTTATTTTTTCGTAAGACTTCATTTAAAAAATCGTATATTTTGCTTACGATTTCGATAACTCGATCGTACATCGTACAAGAGTCAAAAAGGTCGTATAAATACCATTTCTAATTCTGATTTGATTTTTATGTAACTTTAATTATTTTTATTTAATTTTGATTTAATTTTAATAATTTTATTTAACTTGTATATTTATCCTGAATTAATTAAATAATTTAAACAAGTTTTAAATTTGCTCTGTAACTGTAACTATTATTACTTATAAAATAAATATACATACTCAATGAATGCTATGTACACTTGTAATTGACGTACATATCAGACTTTAATATAACTTCTAAATTTTTATATAAATGTTTGTAATATGTATGTTGTAAGTGTGCTTAAATAAATAAATAAATTTAAATCGTACGGTTGGCAACACTGTCAGCGGGCAGCGTACGTTCGGGGGTAGGGGGCGGGGCGACTCTTTAATATCGTAGATCAATCGATAACCGCATACGCGGCCCGTCATTCATACACGCTGGTGCCACACTGCACACATATAAATTGCAATGATGCCGTTCTTCAAGTATGCGTGTACGGAGTGATTCTTTTATATGTTAATTTAACATTTTTATTGATTTTTTTCATTAATTAAAAATTTAAAAACATTTTGTTTTCGATTAGTATATATGTATACTTGCAAAATAGATTTTTGAGTAACAAAAATAGGAAAACGTAGTTTAATCCACTGATAAAGTTTAGCACATTCAATATATTATTACTTAATAAATATGTAAGTAGTTGTTAATTTATAAATTAGATGACCCATCATCCGGCGGACTTCGTAACGCCCTATAATCAAGAAATATCTGTTACCTTTTTATCTCAATGAATTTAATTTCTTAATTATGTACAGCTGATTCGACAGACAATGGTCTGTCTTCTTCTTATATATTATATGTTTAAATTAATACTTTAATAGTATAAGTCTTTATTATTTCGATAATCTATAATAATAATAATATTAAAGTAATAATATTAAGATCTCAAGTAATAATATTCAAAAACAGTTTTAAAATGTAACACATATATTTTTATGTACTTCAAATCAATGGCTGCATTTATAAAGCAGCTAGCGTCATCCGTTACATTTTTGTGTGAGTTAATTACATGAAATTCCAATTTCTTTTGAAAGATGTCGCTAAAATATAATCTTTAATTTACACAAAATAAATTAATAAAGGCACGCATAAACGTTAATCATTTGTCATAATTTATGAACCCATGTCAACCAAAATCCGTGAAAATTAGTCTAGCCGATTTCGACTTATAAAACAATTACGACTTTCTTTTATACATTACTAGCTTTCCGTCCGGAGCTTCGCCCGCGTGGAGTTCGGTTATATCGTGTTTCCAAGAGAACCTTTTCGAATTTATTGTGAATTAATTATATTTTTAATTCAGATTATTTAATGCTTATTTTTGTATGCTGATAAATTTATTTTAATCTATCCCTACTAATATTATAAATGCGAAAGTAACTCTGTCTGTCTGTCTGTCTGTCTGCTACGCTTTCACGCCTAAACCACTGAACTGATTTTAATGAAATTCGGTACAGAGATAGAGTTGACCTTGAGAAAGAACATAGGATAGTTTTTATCCCAGACTTTTGAAAGGTTCTCTTGGAAACGCGATATAACCGAACTCCACGCGGCGAAGCTGCGGGCGGAAAGCTAGTTAGTGATATATATTAACGAGTTCCAAGGACCGCCCTCTGTTATAATAATTATAATCTATACTGTATATATCGATTATTATTTTTTATATGTAATAGAAACTGCAAAATTAATTTTACATAAGTTGGATGTAATGTAAAGAAACTTTACATATACATTTTATATTTTATTGGGTCTGCAAATGTGTGTTCAATTGTTTCTGTACCTCTTAAACAGATCGATCCCTCAAATCGATTTCAACACCGTATATTTTGAAAGCCCTTTTCCAAGAGGAGATTCTAATGTATGTTTTGTTAATATCTGTCCAGGAATGTAAGATACTCAGTTCGTTTTAGCTATTTTTGATAATCTAATTAATATTTAGTTATTTTCAATTTAATAAAATTGTATTATTTCACATAAATATATATATGTATTTAATATGGAACAAAGAAATGCTAAAGAAAAATCTTTATAAGGTGATCACTTAAGAAATTAAAGTTTCTAAGTAATGACTAAGGTAAGACTCGATACTTCAATAAATTAGTTTTCTTTTCTTCTTCTGAACGTAACACTGACCTTATGTTAGGAACGGGAATAGTATGTTAAATTTTAGAATGAATCACATTTCTATTTCTTTGTTATTTATTCTTATAATTTATTTTTAACCTTACAATTTATATTTAACCGTCAGTGCTAAAATATGAAGTAATAATCTTTTCGTTATACATATTGTTTTCATCTAAGCTTCTTGAAACAGTAGCTATAAACAGTAGTAAAATTTGCTTTATGAAAAATAATTTTACACTCTGATATAAAGTATATGAATTTAATACTATCTCAAAACATTTCTTGTTAATATAATTGTTACATTTCATTTCGACGGAATCTTTATCCAAGGTTGAAGTTCTATAATCGTTTAATAAGGCTCACAAGTGTCTTATATAGTTAGCAATGCATGAAGTGACAATTAGGTATAGTTATGTTTGCGTGGCGATTATTAAATTAAACTGTGTATGTTATTTTGTATTAAGAATGAAGAAGGAACTGTAAAGAAAAAGAAGAAGTGATTAAGAAGTAAAAATAAAGCAATATCAGCTTCATAGTAATAGAAAGATAAAGAATTGTTTAGGCTTTACATTTTATATTAGGATATGTAACATTTTGGAAAATAGCCAGCATACCTCAGTATTGAATCAATCATCTATGAACATGTGAAGTTTCTTGTAATATATATATTTAAAACAAGTGCTAACAACTTCAAAGAAATTTAAGGACGTTTTTTAATTGAAATAAAATTACTTAAAAGATACATATAATAGCATGCTTATTCTGTACAAAATTAATTAAAACTCAGTATAAAAGAATATTTCTGTGCAGTTACCAGTGTGTAAACGTACAAGAGCAAAACTAAACCACCAGAAACATCTGTTGCGACGAGAATTACATCATTACATGTGGTGGTACCTACGAGATTTGGGGAACTAAGGAAATGAATAAAATCTCAATGTAACCAATATATGCCAGGAGCCAGGTGAATCCACCATTGTTTTTATATAATAATAATTATATTATATTGGATAAGGTTTTATGTTGTATTCACGTGAAAAGTGGAGTATATAGGACTAATGAGCTTTTTGCTTAAAATGTATATTGAACCAATAGTTTACAATTGACCAAAATAAGCTATTAATACATTTCAGTCACAATAAAAAACATCCTGAACTACCGTGTCGCTTAATTTTTCATCTGTTTCGTATAAATCAAATGTAGTTTTTTTATATATGATCAAAGGAGTAAACGGGCAGACGGTTTACCTAGTAGAAACTAGTCACCGTCACCCATCGACTTCTGCAACATAAGTAGTATTTTAGATGTAATGCCTACCTTGTTTATGGACGAGTTAATTATTATTTAAAGTAATTTAAGTTACCCTAGGCACTTAACCACAAATTAGTTAAGAACACAATCACACGCATTTTATATAGAAGGTTTGTCATATTTGTTGATAAAGATATCAGTTTCCATTTTTACAATATCTGTATTAATATCTAAAAAAAATACAAATATAAGTTATAACTATTTTTGTATTATTTTATTTTCTGAAAAACAACAATGGAAAGAAAAAAACTGCCTTAAAATATGTTTTTCCCAATTAAAAAGTTCTAAACATCCGAAACACTGCTAATTAGTGAAGTTGTCTTGCGTAATGATCCAGCGACTACATCTTACTAACTTTATATGAGTATGGTTGAAAACAAATATGTGACAATCAAACTTCATCAACGATTTGTTGTAGTGCTATCATTGCACTTCATACGCCTGATTGTCAATTAATACACTATAATATATGAAAAACAATCTCAAGTACTCGTACGAACAATTTTTTTTTTATAGTCACATAACTATACAACATGTAACATTATTAACGCACATCCTGAAAGTAATTTGTTCAGAATCGGAATCTGAATCGATTTTGATAGTTTTTTATGTAGGTCATTTTTTTTCTCAAATTTAGATAGAACTAAGTAAATTACAGTCATCCTACACACAGTTATCTAAACACTTCATAGAAACGAAAATGGATCGTAAGTCAGGGTATTAAGATTTTTAAAATGAAAAATTAAATTAGTAATCATCATTCAATTAAAGAAAACTGATACTTGTTTCAAGGCTAAAATAGTATTTTACAAATATCTACGCACGCACAGCGACAGCCGGCACACATCACATACCTACGCACGTGTCCATTGACCTCCTAGATCAGCTGATTTGATGCCACTCGACTTTTTTTTGTGGGGGCGAATTAAATCGCTAGTTTATAACACAGAGACAACCAGTGCCGAGGACCTAAAAAACAAGATAATAACCGCCTCTGTAAAAGTGAAAAGTGACACTTCAGTATTATCTAAAATAAAACCACAATTGCGGAAACGGTCATTAAAGTGCATTGAACAAGGCGGTGGACATTTTGAAAATGTTTTAAAACGACAACGCCGTGCACTCGCACGTTAAACTCTAAGTTTGTTTATGATCTTTAAATTATTGTTAATATTTTGATTCACACCATTTAAACACGCCGACTTTGTCGTAGGTATTGTTGTGTCTAATGAAATCACGCGTTATCAGCTGTTTAAAAATTCTTATTTACAAATTTAATTTAACAAATCAGTAATTATAAAATATTGGCTTCACATTAAAAAAAATTCAATGTCGATAATCTAAAGCCTGAAAAGTGTGATGGAAAGAAGAATCATAAATCATAATGTAGTTATTTCGTGTACTTATTATTACCTGCTACTTATTATTGTCGGACGGCCCTTGGAGAGAGGGCCGCGGGCGCGGCGAGTTCATTGTGTCTGTCTGTGTGTGCGTGTGCAGCGGAGTGTTGGTGAATAGCTGACCATAATATTATTATTTGCACGAAATTGGGATAACTAATTTCACAAATAAACAATGCTAACGCACATATAAATAATATTTGGTGTATGCATTGCGTTTATATTATTATATTTTAATTGGGGTGTTTGAGTGTGTGCGTTAATTATGTTACATGTTGTATATATTATTTAAATCGTACGTCAATATAAGATTATACTCGTATAATATGGCATATTTATGTCGAATTCGAATGTAATTTATTGATTAAAAATTTGCAAAGTATCAGGTATGGTGTTTTTATTGTGACTATAAGGAAAACTTTATTTATTACCAGTTATATTAAATAAATATGGCAGTAAAAATTTCTTTTCTTAATAGGAGTGACATAATAAATTGTGAAAACAATAATGAACTAACTTAATGGACAAATATAAATCACGATTCGTGTTATTTGACATTTTTATTTTTTACTAAAGAATTGTTTGATTTTTAATTATTTTAATAAAATACAATACAATATAACAGTATGACGACAAAATAGGGAAGGGTCTGGTTAAATCGGTTAGGATGTTACTGAGTTAGTTCACTCCCGGCTATATTCCACTCCAGCCCGGTCCGAAGGGATCCTCGGTCCCTGAGTTTTCTCCCTGGGCCCGACCTGCTCTCCCTCCGTAGAATGCACCTTCTAGAGTCTAGACTCTTCCAGAAGATCAAAGTCATACTAGGCTTGAATGTGGCCATCCGGTTGTTGTGGCCATCTCAGTCCCAGGACCTCAAACCTCAAACCATCCCTCGACCCCGACCTCCGAGTAGCATGGATTACAAGAGGCGCCACGCTCCCAGTCAACAATAACTATCAATTTACTGCACAGTTCATACAACGATGGAAGTACGTTCAAATCTCAGCGGCAATATATTATTTTAAAATTGTACGAGAATGTATCTTAGGAATAATATTGGGAATGTACATTTTATTATTATTACAGGAAAATTTTAAATTGTGGCATATGAGTATCATTTAAAACTGTAGACAATAGTAATGTAACCTTATCATAACTCAAATCAGAACATATGTACATCATGAAAGAACTCATTAACATGAAAATATAATAAAACTTTGTTAATTTCACGCCGACAAAACAACTTGTTTAGTTCGAAACTATAATAATATCTTGGTTCTGTTTTAATAATATTAAGGTTTCAAATCTTAATAAAACAATTTAGATTAAAGAAAGTTCTTTTTGAAGAAATCGTTTGTTCAGACCAAACGAAGTAATTGAAAAATAACATTATTTATTATTTAAAATCTGACATATATATTTTATAGCTATATAAAACTTAAAATATAATCTGTTTGAGAGTCCATTAATCTATTATTATCTAAGGCCTACATAATGATACTATTACGTTTATTTATGTCGAACCGTTTATTTAACACAATAAAAATAGACACACAGTTACATAAAAGGGAAAATAAGGCAAATACAAACAAATGCGAATCAATGTTACTCCATGACCGCGCGAATGGAGTCTACAATACACACGACCGTTCCCTTTCGTGTCCTATTCCGCACTGGAGAAAGGGGTTTTACCGCGGGGGGGCGTCTTGTATGTATCTAGCGGGAACACGACGCTCGCGCAATGGCCTTGAATATTGTTGTTTCGCTACAATACAACATTTATTATAATAGGTTATAGAGATAAAGTTTGTTAAGGTAAGTGATATTGAAGTGTTAATGTATGGTGTGGGTCCAGACTGACCGCAGCTAATGGCGGACCAACCTGTCCTTGAAGATGTTACAAAGATAGTGTCCAAATATTTAATATATTCGGAGCTCACATTATGTTATATCTAGCATTTATCAGAACCATTCCAACAGACGGGGATATTTTATTTAAATTATTATCAAAATATAAACTTATACTGTGGAATGTATATTTATTACCTGAATACGGGATGGAAATAAAAGGAGATGGAAACTTGTGGGCCCAAAATGTAATGAGTTCAAAATTAATTTAAAAAATTACTTTATTTCTTTTATATGAAATACCAAAAATCTGCATAAATTCTCAATCTACAAGTGGAGAAATATGCAAATAACTGTTTTCATGAAGCGATCGATTAACGATTAATTAAATATAAAAAAATGATTATTCGATTATTTAACTACAAAATAAAAAAACTCCTAGTTTAAAACTTGTGGTAACTTCATTTAAACTACACCATATATGTCCACAATTCAAAAAAAATAACTTTTCATAACGTGTATTAACATAATAATAATATTAAATATTATTTTAAAACATCCTTTTCGATTATCGATTCCATATCGATCGAAATCATTCAGTATATAGTCTATGGCAACATGACATTGACACTTAACAATTACCATGCCAGATGCATTGTTATCTTAGTCTGACTTGTCTTGTCATTTTGTGTTTTTCGATGCGTTTCGAGTGCTTTCCCGATTATTTTACGTTTTCAACGACCACTGCTTTGTTTTTTAAGGACTCCGAACCCGCCTAACGTTTTACGACCCTTGCTTTCACATTGGACACCGACGATCGCCTGCACGTTTGACTTGGAATTGTTAATTTGGATTATTTCGCCGGCTTGTGGATTAGATATTACTGAAACGATGGATCGCTGTGTGAATTGTAGGATAGCAACTAGTAATATTGTACCCCCTGCACAGTTCCTAGACGATATTTTAATTATTATTGAAGAGGAATAAAATATTCCATGAAAATTAATTGTTTTATTTTATGACTTTTATCACATAGTTCACTCCTCCTGTTCCTCGTAAAATTACATACTTGTTACCGATATCTGTATGTCTTCGAGTCTTTCTTGCCTTGTTTATAACTTATCAGATATTCTCTTCTAAATAAAATTATTATTTTTCACATAAGTACTTTTAAGTGTATTCATCTAACTCTTAAAGATATTAATGTAATATAACCTCACTTTTACTAAACCTCTAATAACTCAGCTATCTGATTGTCAATTTCTATAGAATTTTTAATGAAGAAATTCTTAATTTTGAACCTTTTAATTAATACTATTTTAATGTCTTTACATTGAGGGCCCAGAATTGTATGCAATATTTTCAATCTCCTTTAACTTGATTTTCTGGAAGTTTATATCACAGTTTTTATAAGATTCTACTTGGTAATAAGTTCTAGCTGTAGAATGTACATTATTATTTGCATTTATTTTTTCTATTTTTGTTGAAATCTTACATATAAAAAATTAAGCTTGCTTGCTTTAACACTATTCAGGCGAAAATTACAAAAATGGAAATATTGTTACAAATTATTTAAAATATTAATTATTTTCCCATGCACGAATGATCTATTCAAAACTTAACAATTATTTATTAGCGATGAAGAAAATAATCTTGACATCATGATTTAAGAATTGGTGAATTAATATTAAGGATAAAAATAGAGCAGTCGTCTATAATACTTGTGTTTTGATAATAAATGACACATATACGAGATCTGTCTAAGATGTACGAAAATAAGAATATTGTCATTACTTGTATTAAAAGCAGGTTACAAGTGAACATCGCTTTGTGTCTGAATAGTTGGGTATCAAGTAACGACTACTATAGTAGCTCAGGACGAGCCATCGCTTTTCAGATGATAACGAACTATGTAGTATTACTGTATTAACTTTAAATATAAAGTCGGAAATCCATTATTGAATAATTGCACACAAATGGAGATTATAAACTGGCAATATGTACATAATTGTGTTTTCTATCGTGAAATAAAATGAATAAACATTCAGTTAATATAAATGGGGAATTTATATTAATAAACAAAATATTTTATTAATGGTAACATTAATCCCAGTCATTTATTTTGTTACTATTTATTTTGTATTTAAATTTTTGAAATAGGTTTAACTATTTTTGTTACTTAAGAAAAAAATTTATAAGTACATGTACATTACATACTTATCTTACAAATTAATTTTGAAGTACTAGTTATCTTCAACTGTTCGATCTGAAATTTTGTATGTTATTTCAATTTGAATGACAATGCATGATTAGATGCATGATGTCATTTTTAATTCAACATGGCGGCACATCCAAAATGGCAGACTAGTAATTTTAAATATATAAGTATCTGTAACAAATGGCCATGCAAAGGCTTACTTGATGTTAAAAACATGAATACAGAAAAGTCAAACTTAAATAAATAATTAAGAAGCTTTTTAATCAACACTTGTTATTTAAGAGCGCTCCAACTCAGAAAATTATATTCATATGTACCTACATATAACAACTTCATTACATACATTTCATCATTTCACATAAAAGTTTGTCACGATTTTTTTAAATATTTTTATTTCTTTTTTTTTAACTTAAAGTCGTAGGGAAAACTAGGTAATTCCAAAATTGTTACTGTTATTGCCACACACCGAAGAATTAGATATCAATGGATTGTTAAACCACCGCACGATCCTCATACATACCAAGAAGCGTTGCAATTACGTAATAGTCCAACAGTAACTGATAATAATTATTTCAAATGGCACTATAAAATCGTTTCCGAAAATTCCCTAGCTCAAAAACTATTGAACCGTTTAAGATGAAACTTTCATCACTCCCTAAGTTGAAGTACACCTAGCACAAAAAGAAAAACCTAAATCGGGCTTGCAATTCTGGAAATACGCTAACACAAACCAAAAAACATACATACTTACATTCATTCATAAAATTTGGCACAATTGTTCAGACTCTGGTAAAAACAAACATATACGAAAACTAAGGAGCTCTGTAAATATGTATACGGATCGAATTGAAAACCACTTTTTCTTGAGGTCAGTTAAAACGGTTCTGTTACTTTCAATTTATTGAATAGTAGTATAACAATAGTAATAACACGATTAATAGGTAAACATTGTGTTCTAAAAAAAAAACAATCTCTAAAGTAGGGTGAAACTATTTTTGTTCTTTTTCTTATCTATCGATGAAAGACAAGAATTTGGATTTAAAATTTCTAGATCCTAACTTGAAGTAAGCTTTGTGGAAACTTATCATGCTTAAGTGTATTTAAAATTAAGATTCAAGGTGATGCGAAGGTGAAACATTTTGTTTTTACTTGCAAATGCGATATAATACAGTAAAAGTCCTGTAAATTTTCAACATTACTTAATCAGCCAATTGTTATACGAAAACCAACCTTAAAATACTAAAACTATTTTAAAGATTTCTTCTTTAACAGTTTTACATATAATAAAAGATGTATTTTAATCTACGAGTTTAATCTTTAGATTCTTCAATTCTGATCACAATTTAATACAAACACAATAAGCTAATAAAAGTACATATCTAAATTGATGGAGATAGCAATTATTCCTTCATCTCCCTCATCGTCGATAAATACATAAAAATATAGTCTGTATGCAGTAACTACTTGGATCCCGGAATATTAAATAACAACCAGTCAAATAAAGGAAGCCAACGATTCTATACAATAACGTGAAATATTAAATGTCAGTTTTATAATCACCGATTTTAATAATGTATTAATAATCAACGTTTCTATTTAATAATAATAATAATAGACGTTTAGTGGTTAAAAGATTACACCACTACAAAACAAATAATAAAATAAAAACTTAAACTTAACCTATGTACATATATGTACAACTTAACCTATGTACATATACAAAAAAAGGAACATAAAATAACATAACAACTACAAGGACAAATATGTCAAAAATCAATAACAATAATAATAAATGTGCAGCAGTGTAGTTTAACCAAAAGGAGAATCACTAAGTAAAAAATAGAAGCAATGTTGCTTCTACACTGATTTTCAGTGATCTCCTAATGTTGAGGGACTGACAGTGGTAACAATTACATTAAATTA